CTAGTAGGACACTCAAAAGCAGGTAATTTCCTGACCCCTTTTTCTCCCAAATGCCTGAGGACTCCTCAATCAGTAACAACTAAATTCCTGAAATGTCCCCTAGGGGGCAGTACCTCCTTCTTTGGAAACCATTGTCTTAGACCAATTAGTTATAAAAAACGAGCAAATGGATAATGTGAAATTGTTAAACTGCAGACCTGCAACTGCCTTTCTAAGAGTAACCGAACTTGTACATTCCTAGTACAGAATGTGATGTGACTGCATTCCAAGGTTAAGCACCGGAAAAGTTAACAAGTTAACAGGAGCTCTGACCTATTTATATAGGGCTTTTCATTTTGCTAAGCACTTCAGAGATGCTATCTGCTTCAGTTGTCACAAGAACCTCCTAAGTAGATTGTTATTCTCCCCACTTATAGACAAAGAAGCTGAGACACAGAGAGAAAGGTTATCATGCCCTGTAAATCAGGCACTGTCGATTGTTATAGAATTGTCTCCCCGAGTCTTTTTTTTTTTTTTTTTTTTTTGAGATGAAGTCTCGCTTTGTCGCCCAGCCTGGAGTACAGTGGTGCCATCACAGCTCCTCCACCTGCCAGGTTCAAGTGATTCTCCTGCCTCAGCCTCCTGAGTAGCTGGGATAACAGGCGCCCGCCACCACACTTGATTAATTTTTTTTTTTTTTTTGAGACGGAGTCTCACTCTGTCACCCAGGCTGGGGTGCAGTGGTCGGATCTCAGCTCACTGCAAGCTCTGCCTCCTGGGTTTATGCCATTCTCCTGCCTCAGCCTCCTGAGTAGCTGGGACTGCAGGTGCTCGCCACCTCACCCGGCTAGTTTTTTGTATTTTTTAGTAGAGACAGGGTTTCACCATGTTAGCCAGGATGGTCTCGATCTCCTGACCTCGTGATCCACCCGTCTTGGCCTCCCAAAGTGCTTGGCTAATTTTTGTACTAAAAAATAGAGCCCAGGTTTCGCCATGTTGACCAGGCTGGTCTCGAACTCCTGACCTCAGGTGATGTGCCCACCTCGGCCTCCCAAAGTGCTGGGATTACAGGCATGAGCCACTGTGCCCAGCCTCCTCAAGTCTTTTGACAGCAACATGACAGCAAACATTCATGATGAACATTACTGGCTGGCAACTGAATGCATGGTAATTGTTTCAAGTTCTCATTTTTCACTTGAGGAATCTGAGTCTTGAAGAGAGAGATGGGTTGTGTAATGAGGGAGGAATCACTTCCTCTCTGTGCTGGCCAACATAGAGGGGATGGCTGTAGGGGCAAAGTCCTTGGTCTGGAGATGTTAATCATTTGAAGTCACAAAAATGGGCCCAGAAATAGAGAAGGATGGTTTGGGATCCAGCACATTATAAATATTCCTTCCTCAGCATCTTCTGGAGATGATAGGGATTCCTGAAGTCCCCTCACCTCCAAAAGCCTCTCCCTATCTCATCCATTCCTATCCTTCATCCTATTCAAATGGATCCTAGCCCCAAACAATCAGACAGCAGAGCTTGTTCATCCCTGAATAGGCATGAAGCACGCTACTTCCAGGTGCCCAGCCAGCATGAGGAGGTACACGGGGACTCCAAAGGGCAGGTCTGAGTTCTAATCGAATCCAGCTGTATGCCCAAACTGCTTGATTCGCTGTCTCAGATGGGGTGAGAGAAGCCAGCCTGGGCCAAGGAGCAATGACCCCTCATCCTGACTTTCCAAGTTTGGGTAACTCTGGGCTCATGGTCAGACCCACCCTCAATGGCGGTGCCCTTCTTTACCCCTCTCCCCAACCCAGCAGAGCTCAAGGGCTGTGCAGGACTCACTTCTTGTCAGAGGGGAATGAGAAGGCAGCTGAATTCTCTCCCACAGCGGGCACAGCTTCTCTCTGACCTCTGAGCCTGAGTTGCTTTTTTGGGTTGAGGTTTCCAAAACTCTGGGTGGCCTTGCAGATCTAGCATCTCTTTGATAAGCATGGCCAGCTCCCAGAAAGGAACACTTCATCTCTGAGGATGGCTAGCTCGTGATAAACCAACATTTTATTCAAATTCCCACTTAAAAAGAAAAAGGAAAGAAAGCAAGAAAAAATTTGGTCATAATAACAGCTGTCATTGAGTAAGTACCTACTATGTGCAAGGCATATCCTGCTTTATACACATGATATGACTGAATCATCACAAAAGCCCTATAATAATAACTACTATTATTGTCCCCACTTTTCAGATGAGCAAACTGTAGGTAAGAGAAATTGAATAACATGTTCAAAGAAAGAAAAAAAAAGAACCAAAATTTGAATCCCCAAGTATCTTACTCCCAAGACTGTATCCATTTCATTAGCTGCCCTGCTGTCCTTACCTAATCCTCCTTCCAGCCTAGTGAGCCAGAGATTCTTATCATTATCCCTCAAGACAGATGAAGGACCGAACCTCAGTAAAACCATCCACAGAAGCATAGAGACAGCGGCTGTCGTTTCATCCATTTGAGTGTTGAGCTCAGGAGAGCACAAGCCCAAGTGAACGAGGGGGTTTCAAATTGAGGCTGAGATACTCACTAACTGGGTGACCTTGGGATGTTACCTTTTTAAGCTTCAATCCTTTAAAATGCAGATGGTGATAACAGTGTCTAGTATGGGGGATGTTGTGAGGATCAAGCAAGATAATGCATGTGCAGTGTTGAGTACAGGGAAACTGTCATTACTGAAAGCTTCTCTGCCTCAGAGGTTCAGATTTTTTTTCAGATGTTTGGCATGTCATCCTGATGAATCATGTAGACCAGTGCTTCTGAACAGGGCTGATGTCAGAATTACCGGCCTAAAGTACACATGTTCGGGCCCCACCCAGGAGATTTTTATTTAAGCGGACTGGGGTAGAGGGGTAGAGCCTATGGCTCTTTATCTTTAATAAACTCCCACAGCTGGGCACTATGACACATGCCTATAGTCCCAGCACTTCGGGAGACTGAAGCGGGAGGATCATTTGAGCCCAGAAGTTCAAGGCTGCAGTGATTTAAGATCGAACCACTGCTCTCTGGCCTTTGCAACAGAGTGAGATCCTGTCTCAAAAAAAGTAGTAGTAGTAATAATAATAATAATAATAATAATAATAATAATTCCCAGGTAATTCTGATGCACAGCCAGGTTTTTGTATAGAAATCTCGACCACAGTGGAGAAGGAACTCTGGTTTCTCTTCAAGTCTCCTTCTCTCCTTTCTTGTCACCACTAGCACCCCTTTCTTTTTTTTTTTTTTTTTTGAGACGGAGTCTCGCTCTGTCGCCCAGGCTGGAGTGCAGTGGCCGGATCTCAGCTCACTGCAAGCTCCGCCTCCCGGATTTACACCATTCTCCTGCCTCAGCCTCCCGAGTAGCTGGGACTACAGGTGCCCGCCACCTCGCCCGGCTAGTTTTTTGTATTTTTTAGTAGAGACGGGGTTTCACCGTATTAGCCAGGATGGTCTCGATCTCCTGACCTCGTGATCCGCCCGTCTCGGCCTCCCAAAGTGCTGGGATTACAGGCTTGAGCCACCGTGCCCGGCCAGCACCCCTTTTTTCAAAGCCCTTCCCACTGGTAAGCAAGTGCTCTCTCCAAATCAAGAACTCTGGCCTAGCAGTGAGTCAGCAGCACTCAGAGTCCCATGGAGCCTGCCTTTCTGGAGGCCCAGGATCCCCGCATGGGCTGGGAAGCAGGATGCTAGGGTTTCTGCTCTGCACTTGCCCCCTTCTGACTCACTGGTGGCCCAGGGCTAATCAGTCTCCAAGCCTCAGTTTGCTCATGGTCAATAGACAGTCAATAAAAGCAGGCTTGTCCGTCTGAACTCTGCTTCCTTAGGACTGTGTTCCTGGCATTTGACAACCTGACATCCAGAGAGCAGATGGGGGAGACCTGAGCAAGAAGAGGGGACGATATGGAGGAATCCTGCATGACAGTGCTGTCTCATTTACATTTCATATGATTCTCACAATAATGGTTAATAAAATCCAGTGTCTACCTTGGCTTATAATGTCCTCTTTTATCTGTTGCTAGCCTTTGTTCCAATATCATCCCATATCTCTCCTTTTTTGGCCCTCTTGCTTTTCCTTGAATGTTCCAAGCTTTTTTCTACTTCAGAGTCTTTGCACTATTTGCACATCTTGGAATACTTTTGTCATGGATGATCCCAAGTCTGATTTCTTCTTCTCATTCAGGCCTCAGCTTACATGTCACCTGCTCAGAGAATGCTTTGCTAATCAGCCTAAAGTGTTATCCTGGGCACTGGAACATATTATCCTACAGCACATCATTGTATTTTAACTTTCCTCTTAGCAGATATCACTATAGGATATGTTTTTCCTTGTTTATTTCCTTAATGTGCTGCCTCTCTACTACAGAATATAAGCTCTGTGAAAGCAGGTCCTGGGCTGTCTTATTTATTTCTATGTCCCCATTGCCTCCAAAAAATGTTCAGTTAATGTTTATGGAATAATTGAGTTAATGAGGTTGCCTCAGCATGAATTGTGATTCCTTTTCTTTGCTCAGAGACATCCAAGGTTCTGAGAGGGGAAGTGACTGTCCCAAATACAATTCAAGCTTTTTATCTTCTTTATTCAGGCCCTTCCTGTAAAACCTGGCTGACACACAAACCTAGCTGGGGTGAGGCTCCAGGTGTGATGAAAGTTTGGAGTTGCCCCATGAATGGGACTGAGGCTGATGTGGGGGTGAGAAGGCGGAAGGACAGAGCATGTGAAGGGAGAAAGGCAGGCTAGGACAGGAGAGCAGGGTGTGAATCTGGCAAGGGTGGGGGAAAGGGGGTGATTTGACCATGTGTCAGGAAGTGTTTCTCTCCACCCTCCCCTGGGGAGAGCCTTGACCCCAAGGTGGCTTTGTTTTGGGGAAGCAGGTGGCCAGGCAGCTGCTGACGGAGGGTAAAGGCATGGCCTGGGTGGTGACCATGCACTGAGGTCCTAGGCCCGATACTGATCACCCAAAAGGATAATCTAACAGTGGCTCTTAGCCAAATAGGTGACAGGTGAGCTTCTGTCTGAAACCAGCCCAACTATACCATAAAGCCTCAGATCTGGCCTGGGGAAGGCAAGGGATCTAGGGAAGGGAGAGAAAAGAGGCCTCTAAGGAAATAGAGTGGTCAAGTGATTAGTGATTATTATTAACAGCAACAATAATAATGAGTCACATTTATTGAAAGCTTATAGTGTGCCTGGCACTATACTACTTTTGTGTGTTCCCGCATTCATTTCTCAAAAAGCTCCCTACAAAGTAGTCATTATTATTATTGTTATTATTTTTTCCATTTGAGAGATGTCAAAACTGAGGCTCAGTGAAATTAAGTTTCTTGTCCAAGGTCACACAGTAAGTAGCAAAGGCAGGATTCAAACTCAGGTCTGTAGTGATTCCAGTGCACTATAGACACCTAGGCCTGGGTTACTGGAGCAAGTTAAGAGGGCAGGGCCAGACTGACCCCTGCAAAGGTGGGGATAGGGAAGGACAGTGGGATAGACTGTGTATAAATAGCAGGCCTGTTTTTATCCCTACACACAGGCAGAATCAGGCAAGTGCTCTATCTGGCACAATTTCAGGGCTCTGAAAGCCAACCCAGCCCTATGTCAAACAACTCTCGCCCCAGCCACGTCCCTGGAAACTGAAATACCTACTGAGAGACTCATTTCTTTGGGTCAGGACAGAGACTTCAGAAGACCCCTGTAAAAGCACATGGGTTGGAAGAGAAACACCTGGTGCCTGTGAACCAGCAATCTAGGTTAGCCAGCTGGGTCCTATGGGAGGGAGGCTCATTTTTTATGTTGAGGAAAAAGATGGCAGTCAAAGGCAAGGAAAAGAATAAGGCTTGTTTCACAACCTGTCTCTCTCCAATTTCAGAAGCCTGAGAATTACAACCCATAGTTCAAAAATCTCAATGTCCCCTGAGGGAAGATGGGAGGAAGCCACTCCAGCGACTGGTAGAGTACTAACTTCCTTTGCTTTTGCTAAGTGCCTGCAGCTTCAACTCTGGTTATCTCGGGTTTATGAGAACGGCTGGCATTCATGTGTCTAATTTTTACATGATAAATGAATTAATTACTATCTGATACTTGCCGTGTTGGTAGGTCAAAAGGTGGGCTTCTGAAACTTACAGGGTGACAGGGATGGAGACCCCTGGTATGGAGCTGAGACGAAGCAAGAGGCCAGGCCCGGAACAGAACTCAGCTCAGCAGTCAGTCACAAGGCTGCAGAGCGACAGGCGTTTGGGGAAAGGTAGGAATCTCTCCCCGCCACCTGCTGGTCAGCAGCCCTACCCACAATTAGGCCGCGGCTGCCTCGGCCTGGTCCCAAAAAATGTGAGCGCCGCCCCCTCCTCCCGCCCAGTCCCCCGCCGCGCCCGCGGGGTCGGGGGCTGAGCTGCCGGCGCCGCGAGCCGGGCTAGCTTCCCAGCACGGGAGGAGGGAGGGGGCGGCGCCGGGCGGGGCGGAGCTTCGGCGCCTCCCGGAGCCTTATTCCCGGCCGCGCGCCGGGCAGCGCTCATTCGGCCGAAGGAGCTACGCGGGCCGCGCTGCTGGCTGGCCTCACCTAGGCGCGCGGGGTCGGGCGGCCGCGCGGGCGAGCGGAGTGACCAAGACAGACACTCAACAAGAGCGAGCTGCGCCGAGGTCCCGGCCAGGCTTGCACGCAGAAGCCGGCGGCAGACGGTGCCCAGCGGAATCTCTTGAGTCCCACCGCCCAGCTCCGGTGCCAGCGCCCAGTGGCCGCCGCTTCGAAAGTGACTGGTGCCTCGCCGCCTCCTCTCGGTGCGGGACCATGAAGCTGCTGCCGTCGGTGGTGCTGAAGCTCCTTCTGGCTGCAGGTAAGAGGGCTGCTGACGCCCCTGGAGATCGGGGGGATGGGGGCGCTGTGCTGGGGGGCATGGGGGAAGGTCGCCGCAGCGCACCCGGCACGGGCCACTTGGTGGGGCCCTTGCGCTCTGGCAGACGGGCGTCGGCATCGGTGCGTGTTGGTCGGGGGTCTGGGCGGGTGTCTGATGCGGCCTGGCCCCTCGCCCACAGTTCTTTCGGCACTGGTGACTGGCGAGAGCCTGGAGCAGCTTCGGAGAGGGCTAGCTGCTGGAACCAGCAACCCGGACCCTTCCACTGGATCTACGGACCAGCTGCTACGCCTAGGAGGCGGCCGGGACCGGAAAGTCCGTGACTTGCAAGAGGCAGATCTGGACCTTTTGAGAGGTGGGTGTGGAGGCCGCCCATCCTCGGACCCGGGTGGGCTGTTGAAGAATAAGCAGATCCAAGATTCTTGCTGTTTGGGCAATACTGCGGGTTGAGAGTATTCGTGGAGAACCTCGGGTAAAAGCTGATCGGCCTGAAGGGCACTGGGGGATCCTGGAATATAGGTCCCACTCTCTCTGTTGTCATTGCCTCACCTGCTGGGTTGCCGCCCTTCTGGGTACTTTGGGGCAAACTGAAACAGGCAAGTTGTCTGGGGTCGTTACGTGCTTCTTAGGTAAGCTGAGTGATAGGAACAAGGAATGGTTGAGATGCTTTCCCTAGAGCTACTATGTAAAAATGGGCGCCAGTTCTAATTCCCTCATCAAATGACTATTGTATATAAAATAGAGGTAACAGATGCGGAGATGCCCAGGCACTTCTATAGAAAGTGTGCAGTGTTAGCCTCCTCCATCCACCTGTCTCCAGATCGGGGAAACAGAGAGGAATGAGGAGCTCTTGGCTGCCCTAGGTGAGGCTGTGAATGGTGAACGCTGGGCCTCTAGGGGGCTATATTAAAATGCTGGGTATCTCTGAATGCTACTGGAAACCTGCAGGCTTACTGAGCACCTTGCTTTCCTGAGGCGACTCCAAATGGGGAGGGCTGTGTAGAATCCTCCAACCAGCCTCTTTGGCTGTAGCCAAGCACAGGCACAGGGCAGAGTCCAGAGCCTGCCAGCTCTCCTGCCTCCAGACCTGAGGAGATTATCCAGGGTAGAGCAAGGACTCAGCACTGTACCCCGGAATGACTATATTTGGTTGGACAGATGCCCACCTGTTCTAGCTCAACCTGCTCCTCAGCTGCCCTTCTCTCTCCTTCCCAGGAGCTTCCCTTGGGTATTCTCTCTACTTTGTATAAATCAAACACATGCTCCAAAACTGAGCCTAGGCTCCCATACTTCATCCTCTCCCAGCGGCTCTCTGGGGTTGCCTATGGCCTGAACAGCCTGGATTCTCCTGGCCCTCTCCTTCTAGGCTGGGCAGGGCTGGGCTGTGACTCACCCCACCCCCACCCCCCACCCACATGGCTGCTCCTCATACCTCTGCAGACCTGACTCACTGCTCCCTGTCCATGGCTGGAGCCTGGCTGTCACCCTGCACCTTCTCCCTCCCCTTTCTGATTGGTTTGGCTCCCCTGCCTTACTCTCCCCGAAGCTCTGGTCACTGGGTTCCTCTGACCACCTATATCGTCTTCTGAGCTCTGAGGGGGCCTGGGACTGGATGAGAGGAAATGAAGGACTGTGGGGCTGCTGGCACCTACTTCTCTTTCTTTCCTTCTCTTGGCTTTACTGGGCAAAGACTACTTTTCAGGTCTGGGGATCCTACCACCTAAAATAAATGACTGCTACCATTTATTAAATTCCTACTGTGTTCTATGCACTTGATATGTTATCCTGGCTAATGTAACACTTATAGCAACCTTTTGAGATAGTTACTTTTGCTATCCACATTTTACTGAGAACCTGAGGTTCAGAGAGGTTAAGTGACTTGCCCACGGTCATATAGCTGAAATTGGAGCACAGATCTATGGACTTCAGAGCCCATTCATGCCTGGATCAGCATCTCAGGTGCTCCAGACTTGTGAGAGGGAGGAGATGGGGGTGTGTGAAGCAGCTTGGTGTGGTGAGGAAGGACATTGGAGGAAGTCCAGAGACCACAGTTCTAATCCCAATCCTGTATAACATTGAGTAAGTCCCTCTGCCTGCCATGATTTTTTTTTTTTTTTTTTTTTGAAACATAGTCTCACTCTGTCACCCAGGCTGGAATTCTATGGCATGATCTCAGCTCACTGCAATCTCTGCCTCCCGGGTTCAAGTGATTCTCCTGCCTCAGCCTCCCGAGTAGCTGCGATTACAGGCACACACTACCACGCCCGGCTAATTTTTGTATTTTTAGTAGAGATGAGATTTTGCCATGTTGGCAAGGCTGGTCTCGAACTCCTGACCTCAGGTGATCCACCACCTCAGCCTCCCAAAGTGTTGGGATTACAGGCATGAGCCACCGTTCCTGGCCACATGGTATTCTTTGAAGGCCCTCTAGCTTGAAACTCTAAGTCTCTAGTCTAATGTGTCATGCTCACCCTTCTGCTAGACACATGGCTGTAGCCATGGATATGGGCACCTTTTTCCTGATGAGGGATAAGAGGGTGGGACTGGGCTGATGGGCATAGTCCATGGTCAATCCCAGCTGGATGTCTGGGTGAGGTTGTTTTTCCCCCAGTCTCTCTGAAGCATGGAAAGAAGCGGGGAGTCATCATTGTTCCAGTTCCTTCTGGACAGTTCCTTACTTTCCATTTTTCTATCCCTTGTACACCCTGTACCCCCCAACCCAGAGAGCCATAAACAGGACATTGGGGGTTAAATATGAATGAATCTTTGAGAAAGTGGGTGAGCTATAAAGGGCGTGCAGGTTAAATATTTTGCTTGAAGTTGAAAAAGCAAGGCTGTGACCAGGACTGGCCTGCTTGCTGTTCCTGAACCAGGCTCTGCCCTGGGCTCATGGTACTAAGGGGTGCCCCGGAGGAGACCACCTGAACACATGGACACTGTTCTTGTTTTAGGAGCCCTCCAACCCCAAAACCTCCAAGTACTTTCTCTGGAAGCAATTTTTGTGTGTGACACTGTCTTTTTGCAAGTGGGTCACTGAGTACAGCATCAGGAAATGAGGCTGATTGAAGGCCAAAATAGAACGAAGCCGGTGTGGGGGAGTAGGAGATGGAGGTGTAAGGTGGACAGTGGGGTGGAGGTGGAGTTGGTAGAATTGCCCAGTGAGCTGCAGTTACTCAACAAAAGCATTCTGAGAATGAGGCTCTTACACTGAGACTGTGAAATGCCTTCCTTGGGACCCACCCTAGCTTCTACTTCCTACTGAGGTTCCCTCTTTCTGGTGGTTCTGCCCAATCTTTCTGCTCTTCCTTCTGCCTCTTGGGAGGCACTGAGCTAAGGGGCCTTCCCAGATCTCTGACTTCAGGTGGGATCAAAGAATATATACTCCTTTCAAGCACTATGCTCTTCTGATTTTCTTCCCAAAGAGTCAGACTTTAACAGGGTGCTTTTCTCCTACAGTCACTTTATCCTCCAAGCCACAAGCACTGGCCACACCAAGCAAGGAGGAGCACGGGAAAAGAAAGAAGAAAGGCAAGGGACTAGGGAAGAAGAGGGACCCATGTCTTCGGAAATACAAGGACTTCTGCATCCACGGAGAATGCAAATATGTGAAGGAGCTCCGGGCTCCCTCCTGCATGTAAGTGCCCCTTCCCCAGGGCTGAATCTCATCAGCACACTTTGTCAACCATGTGGCTGTTCCTCGTTGTCACTGTTCCTTGAATTCATAATTTCACCCAGTTTCTTCTCAACCTCTGGGCGGAAGTTGGGAGGAGGGGAAATATATTTTTAGTCAGCGGAAGCCCCCTCCCCCCTATAGGATGCAATTTCCTGTGGTATGGTTTTGTGACGTGCTTTAATCCTTAGGGACATTTCCTGCTTGCCCAGAAATGAGCATGTGGCTAGGACAGCTGGCACCTGAAGGCAGGCCCTTCATTCTTGCCTGATGCCCTACTCTGGGAGGGAGAAGCCAGTAGGAAACATGGCAGAGTGGGCTTCCTGGGCAGAGTAGAGCTCCTGAGGGAAGGTAGGAGGTGCATTTGGATGCATGTTGTATAGGTATGTGTATATTTGGGTTTATGTGCATGTGAGTGTGCAAATGTGGGTTGACTGTAAGGCATGGCAGGACTGTACAGAGAGGGATCATCATGGTGGCGGGTTGAGGCCTCTCTTTCTTCTTCCTTACCCCAGCAAGGGCCAGGAGGTCGGGGACATGGAGAGTACTGGCCTTTGGCCATGGGGTGGGAGAACAATTCCTTTGTGCAGGGTTCACAGGAAATGGAACCTGACCCAGCAGGCATCAGCCCCCGGTCAGGCAACATCACCCCTTCCCTGGGTAGGTGTGTGGGCGGAGGGGCTGTGGGTTCCTTAGCCTCTCTCCTAAGCCAAACCCAGCAAACGGCTGCCTTGGCAACCCCTCAGGGATGACAGCACTGCCATGCTCTCTGGCAGGCATAATGTTGCCACTGTGCCTGAGGCCAATACCCTGCGTCAGGCTGCAAACATCCGTTCCCTTCCCTGTGGGGAGGCAGGCTCTGGGGGCCTTAGGGGGAGACTCTGGACAGGGCCAAGAGACTATTGTGTGTACACTGCCTCCAGCCTGTCAAGAAGGCGGTGTGCCTGCAATCCCTTCTACTGGTGATTGGTGCAGATCCCTTGGCTTTTTAAAGCTTCCTTGTTTTGTCTGATCACACATAGCAGAGCTGCCCTGTATTTGGCAGTTGGCAGACAGACCCATCACTCCCCACCATGTTCACAGTCACTTGTGCATCCTTTCCTATAAACATCCTTGTCAGGAGCTTGGTATTAGAAGGCATTCTTTAAGAGTGGCGTAGAAAGCCCCCATATATCCTTCCCAAGGTCTTGGGACAGGGCAGGAAATGTTCGTCTTAAATTTGTAAAATGGCATCGTTAGTACAGAAGGTGTTAGTGAAGAAGGTGACTCAGGTAGTCAAGGTGGATTGAGGCCAGGAATCTATCCATAACAGATTGGTCCCGGGCATTTTGGTGGATGGATGTGGGGCTTGCACTGTGTGGTTGAGAGGCTGTATAAGGCTGCCTTCCTCGAGAGCTGGACTCGGTTGACCACCTAAATCCAGAGAACCTGATACAGGTGCCCGGCCACCTTCCCAGTGGTCCCTAGGGATAGTGATAACTATAATGATGTCATCTCTCCTTTGTCCCAGAGTTTCAGTGTTTATATATAATATGAGTTGAACCTAGGTATGTTAAGCTCCTATTTAGTGGCAGACACTACTTTAGGAGCTGGAGAGATATAGCTTCCTGGGATTTTTCAAAAGCCCTCTGCTGAGTAGGCAGGACTTGGTACCTCTACTTGAAAGATAATGAAACTGGAGCCAGAAAATAGGAAGTAATTTGCCTGAGGTCAATAGCTAAATAAGTAGATGGAAACAAGACAGTGTCTCAGGTACCTGACTCCTAGTCCAGCATGCTTTTCATGCCCTCAGGCTGCACTGGGTGTTGGCTTTCATCTTTCTTTCTTGTATCTGTCCTTATCGAATTGGAGCAGCATTTTATAAAGGGCAGAGGGCAGCTGTTGTCCTAGAGTTCTCTTATTCTTTGACTAGCCTAAGAGCACAGCAATCTGATTTGAAAACTTTACATTAGCTTCCTGGGCAGAATTTTCTTTTTCGTTTTTCTTTTCCTTTTTTTTTTTTTGAGACAGAGTCTCACTCTGTCTCCCATGCTGGGGTGCAGTGGTGCGATCTCGGCTCACTGCAACCTCTGCCTCCTGGGTTCAAGCAATTCTCCTGCTTCAGCCTCCTAAGTGAGTGGGACTACAGGCACCTGTCACCATGCCCAATTAATAATTTTTATATTTTTAGTACAGACGTGGTTTTGCCATGTTGGCCAGGCTGGTCTTGAACTCCTGACCTCAGGTGATCCACCTGCCTCAACCTCCCAAAGTGTGGGATTATAGGCATGAGCCACCATACCTGGCCCTTTTTTTTTTTGAGATGAAGTCTCACTCCGTCACCCAGGCTGGAGTGCAGTGGCGCAATCTCGGCTCACTGCAACCTCCGCCTCCCAGATTAAAGTGATTCTCCTGCCTCAGCCTCCTGAGCAGCTGGTATTATAGGCACATGCCCCCACATCTGGCTAATTTTTAAATTTTTGTGGAGATAGGGTTTCACTATGTTGGCCAGGCTGGTCTTGAACTCCTGGCCTCAAGTAATCCACCTGCCTTGGCCTCCCAAAGTTCTGGGATTACAGGTGTGAGCCACCACTTCCTAGGCAGATTTTCAGGGGGTTGATTGCATGTCTGGGAGGGCCCCCTACTGCCTCCTGCCCTTGCTACTCAGGGCAGAAAGCAGCAAGAAGACAGAAATCCTGGTTTGGGGGAATGTGACGTCTGTGCACCTTCATCTGATTTTTGTGGCTCTTCTTTGACTCCAGACCCAGGAACCACTAGCTCAGGTGTGTCCAGGCTGCTGTGGTGAGACTGAGGCTACCTGGCTTCCTAAACTAGCCCTCTGCAGCCACCATGAACAGGAGAACCCTTTTTGTGTCACCAGCCAAAAGTTGCCCTCAAAGAGTAGTTTCTCCTGGGCATGGTGGCTCACACCTGTAATCCCAGCACTTTGGGAGGCCGAGGCAGGTGAATCACCTGAGGTCAGGAGTTCAAGACCAGCCTGGCCAACATAGCGAAACCCCGTCTCTACTAAAAATACAAAAATTAGCTGGGCGTGGTGGCGGGTGCCTGTAATCTCAGCTACTAGGGAGGGTGAGGCAGGAGAATCTCTCGAACCCAGGAGGCGGAGGAGGTTGCAGTGAGCTGAGATTACGCCATTGCACTCCAGCCTGGGCAACAAGAGCAAAACTCCGTCTCAAAAAAAGAAAAAAAAAAAAAAAAAAGAGTAGTTTCCTGGGATTCCTGACTGGTTGCTGACCCAGAAATTGGCTGCAGAGTTTCCTGTGGCTGGAGGAATCCTGGGGACACTTGGGCTGAGGAGGACTCAGAGCTGGAGGAGACATAGGCTATGGGGCTCTGCTTGGCCTCACTGCCCAGGTGCTAAGAAGGACTGGCGATCCCGCTTCTCTTGGCTCCATCTGACTTGGGTACCCCATTCCTCAGGCCATGGGCAGTAACCTCTGGAGTCTGATTATGTAAAAACTCACACAATGTGGGACTTGGCCTTTATTAACCCCTTTCATTTGTATTACCTCATTTTATGTTTTCACAATACTCTAGTGAAGTAGGTATTTCTTATCTCTGTATTTTACATGAGGAAACCAATGTTTAGAAAGGTAACGTGACTTGCCCAAAATTACCTGACTAGAAATAGCAGCAGAACCAGTCTGGAACTCATGTACTCTGAGTCTCCTCCATCCAGACGTGTCCCCTCCACCTCCTGGGGTAAAGGTGGAGAACTCCAGATTGGAAGATGTCTCTAGACCCTAGAGGGTTCTTGCATCTGTTGTAATACAAGTTCTGGAATGGGTCACAGACATGGGTGGGAAGAATGTGTCCTAGTCTGATGGGTGGCTGGCTCTGGACAAGACACAAAATGTTGCCCCTACCCTGGGATGCTTGGAATGTACTCATTCCCCCTCCCTCTCTGGGGAAGCCAGGAGTTGTCTGCAAAGGGAGGGGGAGGTAGGTAATATTAGGATGTTTGCATTATTATCCTTTTGACTCAGGGTGGGGGTGGAGGGATTATGTAACTGAATTGCCGGACTCTGAGGCCAAACTTTATTTCTATCTTCTGAGTAACTACCTGTGGAGTTTGAGTGATGGACTGGAAGTGAAAAACAGATTCAACTTCAGCTTCCCTCCTCCCAGGAAAGCAAAGTCTCTGAAGTTATCGAGACTGCTGGGTTGAATCCTGGCTCTACCAGTCACTAGCTTTGTAACACTGGGCGAGGTATTTCACAAAAGCTAAGCCTCAGTCCATCTTTAAAATGGGGCTAGTAACTCCTCCTTCACAGAGATGGCTTTAAATGAAATAATCCTTGTAAAGCAGTTAGCACAAAGTACTTGGCTCATGGTAAGCCTTCAATGATTGCTAGTTATTATTCTTTATTATTCAAGTTGTGAGTAATAAATAATAATAACATAGTCAGAGAGAAGGGTCAGACCGCCCCCCAGGAGCCTATCAGATATGCTTTCTTGGAGTTACCTGCACTGTTCTGCATTGGTCAGAGTGGAAGGAATGATGAATTTGGAATCTGCCAAGACTTGTTCCTAGTCTTAGCCCTGCTGCTTCCTAGCTGTGCAACTTTTGGTGAATCACTTAATTTCTCTGACCCTTAATTTTGGCTTTTCCATCTGTGAAATGGGGTTGTACCTGCATACCAGAATGTTAGGAGGCTCAGTTGAGCTGGTAGATAAGGCTAGTGGCTTGTGAATGATAAACTGCTGTGCACAAGTGATTTTCCAGGGGTGCTTCTGCAAGTGTCCTCCATGTCCTGGCAGGATAGGGGTTGCTTTTATGCCTACATGGGCTGATGGGACAGATACATGGAGAGGCTGGGCAAGGAACTGTGGACTGTGCTGTGTGTATAGTGGGCCTGACTTACATTAATCCTGCAATGAGGTGGTTTCTCAAAGTACCCAGGAGGAACTAGGGCAGGGAGAGGCACAGGGCAGGAAGGCAAGAATGCGGTGCCACCCAGCCTGGCCCCTCTGCAACTGCTGGTTGTGGACAAGTCTGTCTCTTGGAGCTTCCCTGGTGCTTTGTCCGCAGGAAGAAGGGATTCCTTGTTCTGAGGCACCAGAGAAAACACCACCTTCCCAGAGAAGGCACAGCTCAGAAAAGAGGGCCACCAGGTTCTTGGTGCTTCCTTCAGCAGCTGGTGGTCCAAAGTCCCCAGACATACAGTGCCACTGTGCCCCCTGCCTGGAGGGTAGGCAGTTGTCAGGTGTGAGTGGGCAGCACACTGAGCTCAGAGTCAGTCTACAGCTACATCTTAGTTTCTGCCTTGCTGTGTGACCTTGGGAAAACTACTCTACCCTTCTGTAAAATGGGGCTCCTACCTACATCAAAGGATCTCTGGGATGCTCAGATAAAGGAAAGGATGTGAATGTTCTTCTTCAACTGTAAGCACATCTGGGTCTTTCTAAGAGCTTCAAGGAAATGCTTTGTGTTAGAAAAGGCAGTTGCCAGCCGAGTACGGTGGCTCACGCCTGTAATCCCTGCACATTGGGAGGCTGAGGCGGGTGGATCACCTGAGGTCAGAAATTTGAGACCAGCCTAGCTAACATAGTGAAACTCCATCTCTACTAAAAAATTACAAAAATTAGCTGGGCGTGGTAGTGGGCACCTGTTATCCCAGCTACTTGGGAGGCTGAGTCAGGAGAATCACTTGAATCCAGGAGGTGGAGGTTGCAGCAAGCCAAGATTGCACCATTGCCCTCCAGCCTGGGTGACAGAGCAAGGCTCTGTCTTAAAAAAAGAAAAAGAAAAAGAAAAGGCAGTTGCCATGTGATTTATTTCTTGAGTGAGAAGAGCCAAGGGATTGTTTCTGACATTCTTCCATGCTCTGGCAGGGCAGCTGGGCAGAAAGATGTTACTTGATTTGTTTGGTTTGTCCTGTGATGAAAGAGGCCTGGTAGCTCAGCGTTCAGAGGCCAAAGGCCAGAGGTGAGCTCCCAAGTTGGGCCCTGCACCAAGGGGGAGCTGGAGTTAAATGAAGGAAACTTGAGAAAAATGACTCCTGGCAGAGGCACGGGGCCTATTAATAGGCTGGGCAGCGGTGGAGAGGGACTGGATGCTGGAAGCACAATGGGCAAGGCTGGGTTTATTTCTGGGTCAGAATGTTGAGGGGCCTCACTGGAGGGAGTGATACAAATCCCTGAATTCAGCCTACCAGCTCTTGTGCCCAAGCCCTCATAAGTGGTTTAACGCCTGAACACACATGTCATAAATCAGCCACACATGGAACATATCTAACTGAGGCCTTCAAGTCCTCCCTTGCTTTTTCCGTGCCTGGAACAGGATTCTCAGCCCAGAGAACCAGAGGAAATGGAAAAGCAGAGGGTGTCAAGTGAGGAAGGAATGCTATAGAGCCTTCAGAGGCACTTTAAAGGGTTTTATACTAGAGGAGAAGGATGGAGGATGGGCAGGGATCATGGTCAGGGATTGAGAGGCTGAGGGTATGAGGAATGGGGTTTGGCTTATGCAGGTGGGCCATTGCCGAGAGAGAGGCCAAAGCACTAACTCTATCTCCTTCTTATTTTTTCTTGAACTAGCTGCCACCCAGGTTACCATGGAGAGAGGTGTCATGGGCTGAGCCTCCCAGTGGAAAATCGCTTATATACCTATGACCATACAACTATCCTGGCTGTGGTGGCCGTGGTGCTGTCCTCTGTCTGTCTGCTGGTCATCGTGGGGCTTCTCATGTTTAGGTAAGTGTTGGAGTCCCCTGCAGACTGCTTCTGCAAATCACTCCCATTCTTCCTCCTCCTGGGCCCTCTCCTTCATGATCACATGAACTTCCCTCAGTCTCTCCAAATTGTGGGCTAGCTCCGGGGTGTAGATTCTCCAAAACCCTGGTATTTCTGGCATGACATGAGTCCCGTGTCTAGAGCCCAGGGTCAAATTTGCAAGGCCATAGCAGGTTCTGCTCCTCACAGGAGTTCTTTTCCTGCCTCTGTGACCCAACTACCCACTCATGGAGTCACTTTGTCACACATTTCTTTCTCCTAGCTGTTCTTTGATGGCATCAGTATGTGGTTTGGTAGTCAAGGTGTGGGTGGTGCTAGTGGTATATCCTTCCACTCCCGAGGCATCTGGACTTCAGGCCCTGCTTCTAATCCAGGTATGCTCTAGCTCAGGGGAGACCCACCAAGCATTCTATGCCTGTTTTCAAGCAGTGTAACTCATCTGTCTTGAGACCTGGAACAAATTACTGTCTTTCTGAGGATTGTAACCTTATAGTGATCGTAATCTTTGTCCACCTACCTCATAACGATGTTGTGAGGATCACATAAATGAGGTGAAAGCTCTTTGTAAATTGCATCCTGCTGTTAGAAACAGGAGTTCCTCAGGGCAGTTGGGCCTTTGACCAGAGGTTGGGCTGCCCTACTGTGTGTGGGCTTTTCCAAGTAGTGGAGGAAACCACCATGGCAGAGTTCTTTGGAAGGACCTGCTCTGGACCTATACTTTGTCATAGCAGGCAGAGATTATTCACAAAGCTTATCTTCCTCAGGTACCATAGGAGAGGTGGTTATGATGTGGAAAACGAAGAGAAAGTGAAGTTGGGCATGACTAATTCCCACTGAGAGAGACTTGTGCTCAAGGTAATGCTCCATCCTTTGCCCCATGACATGATTATCCTTTGTCCCCTTTCCTGGCTCTGCTTCAGTGGGTGCTGAATTTTTCATCGAGGGGTTGGGGGCCAGGCCACTGTGACATTAATATCCCATTGCAGAACTATTTTCAAAAAGACTCAGTGCTTCACTTAAGGTAAAAGTTGCTAGAGAGACACCTAAGAGAGATGCCTGAGAAGACAGCTTCTCCCACCCTCATCCCCTCCCTTCCCCTCTCCTCCCCTCCCCTGGGAGACAGAGCGAAACCCTGTCTCAAAAAGTTTAAGAATAAAAAAGACTGGACCAGGAAAATCTTAAGACCTCTTTAGACTGGACCTGGCTTTAAATGCCTTCCTTTTGTGCTTTAGGAATCAGCTGGTGACTGCTACCTCTGAGAAGACACAAGGTGATTTCAGACTGCAGAGGGGAAAGACGTCACATCTAGCCACAAAGACTCCTTCATCCCCAGTCGCCATCTAGGATTGGGCCTCCCATAATTGCTTTGCCAAAATACCAGAGCCTTCAAGTGCCAAACCGAGTATGTCTGATGGTATCTGGGTGAGAAGAAAGCAAAAGCAAGGGACCTTCATGCCCTTCTGATTCCCCTCCACCAAGCCCCACTTCCCCTTATAAGTTTGTTTAAGCACTTACTTCTGGATTAGAATGCCGGTTAAATTCCATATGCTCCAGGATCTTTGACTGAAAAAAAAAAAAAAAAAAAAAAAAAAAAAGAAGAAGAGGAAGAAGAAGGAGAGCAAGAAGGAAAGATTTGTGAACTGGAAGAAAGCAACAAAGATTGAGAAGCCATGTACTCAAGTATCACCAAGGGATCTGCCATTGGGACCCTCCAGCGCTGGATTTGATGAGTTAACTGTGAAATACCACAAGCCTGAGAACTGAATTTTGGGACTTCTACCCAGATGGAAAAATAACAACTATTTTTGTTGTTGTTTGTAAATGCCTTTTAAATTATATATTTATTTTATTCTATGTATGTTAATTTATTTAGTTTTTAACAATCTAACAATAATATTTCAAGTGCCTAGACTGTTACTTTGGCAATTTCCTGGCCCTCCACTCCTCATCCCCACAATCTGGCTCAGTGCCACCCACCCTTGCCACAAAGCTGGGATGGTTCTGTGATTCATCTGTAGTAATTTATTGTCTGTCTACATTTCTGCAGATCTTCCATGGTCAGAGTGCCACCTGGGGAGTTCTGTATGGTCAGGATGTAGGGGTTAACTTGGTCAGAGCCACTCTATGAGTTGGACTGCAGTCTTGCCTAGGCGATTTTGTCTACCGTTTGTGTTTTGAAAGCCCAAGGTGCTGATATCAAAGTGTAACAGATATCAGTGTCTCCCCGTGTCCTCTCCCTGTCAAGTCTCAGAAGAGGTTGGGCTTCCATGCCTGTAGCTTTCCTGGTTCCTCACCCCCACGGCCCCAGGCCCACAGCGTGGGAACTCACTTTCCCTTGTGTCAAGACATTTCTCTAACTCCTGCCATTCTTCTGGTGCTACTCCATGCAGGGGTCAGTGCAGCAGAGGACAGTCTGGAGAAGGTATTAGCAAAGCAAAAGGCTGAGAAGGAACAGGGAACATTGGAGCTCACTGTTCTTGGTAACTGATTACCTGCCAGTTGCTACCGAGAAGGTTGGAGGTGGGGAAGGCTTTGTATAATCCCACCCACCTCACCAAAACGACAAAGGTATGCTGTCATGGTCCTTTCTGGAAGTTTCTGGTGCCATTTCTGAACTGTTACAACTTGTATTTCCAAACCTGGTTCATATTTATACTTTGCAATCCAAATAAAGATAACCCTTGTTCCATATCCTTTCGTCTGTTTGTTTTAACTGGGAACTGGTTTAACTTAGTTATATCCTAAGCCCTGACTTGGTGGTAGGCTGTATACCAGGCCTATTTATGTATACTACAACAACAATTCTGTAATGCAGGTACTATTACTGTCGCATTTTTCCAGAAGGGGAAACTGAGGCTCAAAATGGTTGTGTAACTTGCCTGAGGATACACAGCTAGTAAATGACAGAGCTGGGACTAGTGGTCTGGCTCCAATTATTTTGTCTTGGTACTTATACCATGCTATCTCTGAGATAAGAAAGAACAGATCTTTCACACATGTTTAGCTGGCTGTAATCAGCGAAGACATCCACCCATTCAATTAACAGGTCCTGGACTCAGGACCTACTCCTATGCTGTACATATGAGCAGGCATTGCTTCTGGCAAGAACAAGATGTCTTTGACTCCCCTCTCTTGCTCCACAGCCAATCCATCAGCAAATCTTGTCAGCCCTACCTTTAGAATATATGCTGTATGCAACCACTTCTCATCACTGCCACTACTATCACCCAGTCCAAGTTAGCATCATCTCATGCCTGCACTTTTGTGATGGCCTCTGCCTTTCTAGTTCCATCTTGCTTCCATATAACATATTTCCAGTGTAATAGCCAGAGTGATCATGTCTTTCAGACCTTGTCTGCTCTGCAGGCCTTCCCTGACCACCCTATTAAACAATAGCACATTCCTTTCCCCATCCTCCTCTTACTCTTCTTATATTGCTTTATATTTCTCCGTAGCCCTTATCACCACTAGCATATTCCTGTTTGTTTATAGTCCATCTCCTATGAAAATGTTGGCTCCACGAGGGTAAGGGTGTGTATATTGCTCCTCTCCTAGATTCTAAAACAATGCAATTGAATGGTAGGCACTCAATATTTGTTACCTGGATGAATGAATGTAGGAAATACAATTCAGTCCAAGGCCAACAAGTGGACAGACATGCAATCCAATGCTGCCCTGAAAGTGTGATTGGATTTAGAGAGGGGTCTCTGTTGGGAATGTGGATGGTGGTGACAAGATGAAAGTGGAATTTGGGGCATGTCATGTGTCCTGGTGGATTGGACAGTCCACCAGGTGGATTGGGGCAGTGCAGTGGCATTGGACAAGTGCCACTGGGCTGCCCCTTCTCATCCTCTTCCCTTGCAGAGTTGTGACATTCTGAAGTTTCTTCAGGAGCCCACACAGAGATCTTGTATATACTTGGAACATCCTTTTAAGACTTTAGGCACTAGTAACTATTGAAGCTGAACATATGCATACGCCAGGAGTAATTCCATTCCTGGAGATTCAAGAGAAATGAGTACATGGTTCACCAGAAGAGATCCACCAGAGGCTGGCGCGGTGGCTCACGCCTGTAATACCAGCACTTTAGGTGGCTGAGGCAGGTGGATCATGAGGTCAGGAGTTCGAGACCAACCTGGCCAACATCATGAAACCCCATCTCTATTAAAAATACAAAAAATTAGCCGGGCATGGTGGCATGCGCCTGTAGTCCTAGCTACTTCGGAGGCTGAGGCAGGTGAATTGCTTGAACCTGGCAGACAGAGGTTGTAGTGAGCAGAGATCGCGCCATTGCACTCCAGCCCAGGCGACAGAGTGAGACTCTGTCTTAAAAAAAAAAAAAAAAAGCCGGAAGAAAAGAAAGATATGCACAGGAGTAATCCTAGCATTATTTACAATAACTAAAAACTGGAAACCATCCAAATACCCATCAGTATCTGATGATAAAAATGAATAAATTGGGGATGTATCTATACAGTGAAGTACTAAATAGCAATAGGAATGAGTTGCAAAACATATGGCTCAGTGAAAGAAGGCAGACTCACAAAAAAAGTATACACTGTGTGATTCCATTTACTTAAAATTTAAAAACAGGCAAAATTATGGTGAGACAAATCAGGAAAAAGACTCCCATTGTGGCCGGGTGCGGTGGCTCAAGCCTGTAATCCCAGCACTTTGGGAGGCCAAGGCGGGCGGATCACGAGGTCAGGAGATCGAGAGCATCCTGGCTAATACGGTGAAACCCTGTCTCTACTAAAAAATACAAAAACTAGCCTGGCGAGGTGGCGGGCGCCTGTAGTCCCAGTTACTCGGGAGGCTGAGGCAGGAGAATGGCGTAAACCTGGGAGGCGGAGCTTGCAGTGAGCTGAGATCCGGCCACTGCACTCCAGCCTGGGCGACAGAGCGAGACTCCGTCTCAAAAAAAAAAAAAAAAAAAAAAGACTCCCATTGTGATCAGTGATTACTGATGACTGGAAGAGAGGGACTTCTGGTGTTCTGATAAGTTGTGCCGTGGTTGGGATGTGGGCTACGTGAGTGTATTCACTTTGAGAAATTCACCAAATACGAATTTTTAGGGCCAGGTGTGGTGGGTCACATCTGTGATCTCAGCTCTTTGGAAGGCAGAGGCAGTAGGATCGCTTGAGCCCAGGAGTTAAAGGCTAGCCTGGGCAACATGGTGAAACCCTGTCTCTACAAAAAATAAAAAAATTAGCCAGGCCAGGCGCGGTGGCCCACGCCTGTAATCCCAGCACTTTGGGAGGCCGAGGGAGGCTAAGGCAGGAGAATCACTTGAATCCGGGAGACAGAAGTTTATAGTGATCCGAGATTGCACCATTGCACGCCAGCCTAGGCAACAGAGTAAGATTCCATCTCAAAAAAAAAAAAAAAAAAAAAAAAAAATTAGCCAGGCATGATGGTATGTGCTTGTAATCCCAGCTACTTGGGAGGCTGAGGCAGGAGGATCACTTGAGCCTAGGAGGTTGAGGCTGCAGTGAGCTGTGATTGTACTACTGCACTCCAGTTTGGGTGACAGAGTGAGGCCCTGTCTCAAAAAAAAAAAAGATTTTAAAAACTTGAATAGGAACTCTTTTGCTATTTGCATTGCATAAAGTTCTGTGAAGTACCAAAGTATTATCTGTGGTAATCAGAGAGAATAATAAAGATATCAGAAATAACTGGAGTAGTGAGTTACTTTGAACTCTCCTGAGGCTCCCTTTCCTGCTTCCAAGCTTTCAGTCTCAAGCTCTTGTCCTGAGATAGGTTTTTCTAAGCACACTTTGTTTCTCCAGCTAATGTTTCCTGCAGGCTCAGGGCTTCCTGCCTTTCAACTGCTCTCTCCTCTGCCCCTGTTTCTCATGGGAGTTCCCCTCAGCAGAGGTCCTCTGGAGCTCCTCTGGGCATCTTCTTGGTTGATACAGTGGCCCTAGGAGCCTCTGAACCTGCAGCCATTTCTCAAGACGGGCTGTCAGAGCCCTCCCTGAGCACTAAAAAGCATCTACCTCTTCTTTCTGGGCTCCGCTTTCAGCCTCCTTTGAGAAACTTTCTTTTATAGTGTTCATAATAATCACTATTAGCTTAATAAACATTTAACATTTCATGGAATGCTCACTATGTATCGGACACTGGGCTGCACACTTTACAGGCACTACCTTATTTACATCTCAACACAACTTACTGTACCCAGGTTATAGATGAGGAAAATTGAGAAGCAATTGAGAGATGTTAAATGCATGCCTAAGGAAAGTGGGAAAAGTAGGATGTAAACCTGAGAAGCCTAATTCCCAAGCCTGCACTGTAACCACTAAGCTACACTCCTAAATGACTTCTCTGTTCCAGAGTTGTTTTCTCTTTTCCCATATCCAGAAATAGTATGAGGGAGAAATAATATTAACAGGAACTTAATGGCTGGACACAGTGGCTCACACCTGGATTCCTAGCACTTTGGGAGGCTGAGGCAGAATAATCACTTGAGGCCAGAAGTTTGAGGCCAACCTGGGCAACACAGTGAGACCCTCATCTCTACCAAAAAAAATGTAAACATTAGCCTGATATGGTGGCATGTACCTGCAGTCCTAGCTACCTGGGAGGCTGAGGTGGGAGGATCCTTTGAGCGCAGGAGTTTGAGGTTGCAGTGAGCTATAATCACACCACTGCACTCCAGCCTAGGCAACAAAGCAAGACCCTATCTCCTTAAAAAAAAAAAAAAAAAAAAAAGGAAAGAAAGAAAAAAGATCTTAGAGAGCAAGTCCTTAGAGCTCAAGGGTTTCTGGGGCCAGACATGGTGGGTCATGCCTATAATCCCAGCACTTTGGGAGGCTGAGGTGGGCAGATCATTTGAGGTCAGGAGTTTGAGACCAGGTTGGCCAACATGGTAAAACCCGGACTCTACTAAAAATACAAAAATTAGCCGTGTATGGTGCTGCACTCTTGTAATCCCAGGTACCAGAGAGGCTGAGGCAGGAGAATCACTTGAATTCGGGAGGCAGAGATTGCAGAGAGCCAAGATCACACCACTGCAATCCAGCCTGGGTGACACAGCGAGACTCCATCTCAAAAAAAAAAAAAAAAAGTGTCTTCTGTTGCCCCCAGTTAACAGATTCCTGAAAGGTGACCCAATGGGGCCTTGTCACAGGGAAGTGGAAGAAAACAGGAATGCAGGCTGACCTAAACATGTGGCTGAATCCAGTTCCCACTGTTATTAGGGAAGTGCCCTCACACATGACACCTAACCTCTCTGAACCTGTCTTCCTGTCTATAAAATCGAGACACTAAAATTATTTACGTTAAAGAGTTGCAAAAATTATATGCCCTTCTGGGCACAGTAGCTCATGCCTGTAATCCCAGCACTTTGGAAGGCCAAGGCAGGTGGATGGCTTGAGCTCAGGAGTTTGAGACCAGCTTGGGCAACATGGAGAAACCCCGTCTCTACAAAAAACACAAAAGCTAGACAGGCTTGGTGGCAAGCGCTTGTAAGTCCCAGCTACTTGGGAGGCTGAGGTGGAAGGATGGCTTGAGCCTGGGAGGTCAAGGCTGCAGGGAACTGTGATCGTGACTCTGCACTCCAGCCTGGACAAGGGAGTGAAATCCTGTCTCAGACAAATAAAAATTATATGTGTGAGTAAAGTGCCTAGCTCAGGGCCAGGCATGAGCTAGATACTCAGTTAATGTTGGCTATCTTAAACGACCTGTCC